ACTTTTCAGTATTCAGATTTTTCGTTTCCTAATTTTTCAGTTCTCCAGTTTTTCGATTTTTCAGGTACCTAGGAATCTGCGATTTTCCCATAAATCAATCCTTCAATTCTTCAATTCTTCAATTCGCCAGTTCTTCAGGTCTTCAATTCTTCAATTCTTCAATTTTTCAATTCTTCAATTCTTCAATTCTTCAATTCTTCAATTCTTCAATTCTTCAATTCTTCAATTCTTCAATTCTTCAATTCTTCAATTCTTCAATTCTTCAATTCTTCAATTCTTCAATTCTTCAATTCTTCAATTCTTCAATTCTTCAATTCTTCAATTCTTCAATTCTTCAATTCTTCAATTCTTCAATTCTTCAATTCTTCAATTCTTCAATTCTTCAATTCTTCAATTCTTCAATTCTTCAATTCTTCAATTCTTCAATTCTTCAATTCTTCAATTCTTCAATTCTTCAATTCTTCAATTCTTCAATTCTTCAATTCTTCAATTCTTCAATTCTTCAATTCTTCAATTCTTCAATTCTTCAATTCTTCAATTCTTCAATTCTTCAATTCTTCAATTCTTCAATTCTTCAATTCTTCAATTCTTCAATTCTTCAATTCTTCAATTCTTCAATTCTTCAATTTTTCAATTTTTCTATTCCTCAATTCTTCAGTTCTTCAATTCTTTAATTCTCTAATTCTCTAATTCTCTAATTCTCAAATTCTCAAATTCTCTTATTCTCTAATTCTCTAATTCTCTAATTCTCCAATTCTCTAATTCTCCAATACTACAATTCTTCAGTTCCTCAATTCTTCAATTCTTCAATTCTTCAATTCTTCAATTCTTCAATTCTTCAATTCTTCAATTCTTCAATTCTTCAATTCTTCAATTCTTCAATTCTTCAATTCTTCAATTCTTCAATTCTTCAATTCTTCAATTCTTCAATTCTTCAATTCTTCAATTATTCAATTATTCAATTATTCAATTATTCAATTATTCAGTTCTTCAATTTTCAATTTTTCAAGTCTTCCAACTTTCCACTATCCCAAATTTCCAAATTCATTATTCTTATCATATAGTAACAGGTATTTTCTGTTAATATTATTGTGTAATAACACTATCGTAATATTATTATTATTACACAATAATAAACATCGATTAATGTTATTATACAATAACAGATACTTGTATTAAATCTTCCACTATATTTGATTTTGTTATTAAGCTTCTAACCTCATTAAAATCAACACAATAGTTATTTAAGTATCTTCTAATAATTTCAAAAAATATTTTAATTCCCGAAAATGATCAAAATTCTTAGTACATCTTTCATTGCTCTATGCACATACTTGATATCACCCGTTTTTAAAAGTCTCACTGCTGCGAATTTCTAATATTTCTCTCAAAATTGAACCTGAAGAATTTTCCACCGTAAAAACCTCGGAAATTTTCGAACGAAACTGTACGAATGATTTTTAACGACGGGCAAAGAATTTCTCTGATAAAATGCAACGCTTGTATTCCGTAGCGAACGCGAAAGACGTTTTCCACTATTTTCTCCGAATGATCGAGATTCCGCCGTGTTTTCTATCTCCGTGATTTTTCCGTCCATTGTTTCGCGCGAAAAACGAAGCGACAGTTTGATGGTCGTTACACGAATAGATATAAAATTACTGACGATACTTTTCGTCGCGATGGTTTGACACCTTTAAAAAAAAATAAAGAGAACACGAATAATTTTCGCGGCCGGAGAACGATTGTAACTCGCGCGCATTGTTCAGTCGAAACTGTAATTTTTCGAAACAATAAGGCGAATCGGCTGTGTTTTTTTATGGACGGAGGGCCTGTGCGGGAAATCGGATTTTTTGGGGAAGTAGCAGATGTAAATGGTAGGATAATAAAAATGATAATGCATATAATGCGTTGTTTGTTATATAATTATTTGTAATATAAGGGGTTATATAATGTCGGAAATATGTTACGTATTAGTAGAGGATTTGTATATAATTGACGCTGTTAAATCATTTATTCATAGGCTGTTTTATTATTAATATTATTAATATTGCAATATTAGTGATGTTATTAATATTGATATTTACTCATAGAATTATTAGTATTTTCCCTAATTTCCTCAGTTTCTACTTTCACGATTCCCTGATTTCCCAATTCCGTAATTCTCCAATTCCGTAATTCCCCAATTCCATAATTTCCCAATTCTCCACTTTCTCAACTTCCTAATTTCCCAACTCGCCAATTTCGCAACTCGCTAATTTCCCAACACTCGAATTTCCCAACTCGATAATTTCTCAATTTGCTAATTTCCCATCTCTCTACTTTCCCAACTTCCCAATTTCCCAACTCGTTGATTTCCTAACTCTCTAACTTCCCATCTCGCTAATTTCGCAACTCTCTAATTTCTGAATTCTCTACTTTCCCAACTTCCTAATTTTCCAACTCACTGATTTCCCAACTCTCTAATTTCCCAATTCTCTACTTTCCCCACTCGCTAATTTCCCGACTCGCTAGTTTCCTCACTCGCTAATTTCACAACTCTCTAATTTCACAGCTCGCTAATTTCCCAACTCTCTACTTTCCCAAGTTCCTAATTTCCCAACTATCTAATTTTCCAACTCGATAATTTCCCAATTTGCTAATTTCCTATCTCTCTACTTTCCCAACTTCTTATTTTTCCACTCGCTAATTTCCCAATTCACTAATTTCCCAACTCTCTAAGTTCCCAATTCTCTACTTTCCTCACTAGCTAATTTTCCAACACGCTAATTTCCTAATTCTCTAATTTCCCGACTCGCTGATTTCCCAACTCTCTGATTTCCCGACTTTAATTTCCGCAAAGAAAAATTTTTATAAAATTCAGTAGTATTAGTCAACGTATGGTCAGACAATTCTTTTCCTTTAAGCTTTAATTTTTTGAGGTGTCAAGTTTCAAAAATTTTTATATTTTCAAATTTTTTAATCTTCGCATTTTCAAGCTTCTAAATTTTTCATTCTTTGCAATTTGTATATTTCTGTATTTTCAAGCTCTCAAATTTACAAATCCCCAAATCTTTAATTTCCCAGTTCCCTAATTTCCTAATTCTCTAATTTCCCAATTCCCTAATTTCCAAATTTTCAAACTTCCCAATTCCTTAATTTCCCATTTTCCTAATTTCCCAGTTTCTCAATTATCCAAATTCCTAGTTTCTCAATTTCCTAATTTCCTAACACCCTAATTTTTCAATTCCCTAATTCCCCGATCCCTAATTTCCCAACTTTCTAATTTCCCAATTCCCTAATTTCCAAATTTTCAAACTTCCCAATTCCTTAATTTCCCATTTTCCTAATTTCCCAGTTTCTCAATTATCCAAATTCCTAGTTTCCCAATTTCCTAATTTTCCAATACCCTAATTTTTCAATTTCCTAATTCCCCAATCCCTAATTTCCCAACTCTCTAATTTCCCAATTCCCTAATTTCCAAATTTTCAAACTTCCCAATTCCTTAATTTTCCATTTCCCTAATTTCCCAGTTTCTCAATTATCCAAATTCCTAGTTTCCCAATTTCCTAATTTTCCAATACCCTAATTATTCAATTTCCAAATTCCCCGATCCCTAATTTCCCAACTCTCTAATTTCCCAACTTCCTAATTTCCCAATTCCCTAATCTCCCATTTGCTATTTACCATTTATTATTCAACATCAAACACCTATCATTCAATATTCAATATTTAAAAACCTAAAATCAAATTGAAACCCTAACAAAAAATTTCGCAAAAATAATTTTCAAAAACCCACAATATTTTTCCTCAACAAAATTGTTTAAATAAATCTATTTTAAACCCACATACAATTGGGATCGCATAGTCCCAAACTTGAAACCGATCAGAATGCATGAACCATAAAAATACATGAACCAATGAAACACTCATTTCATATCTTTTATACAAATTCGTAATGTTTCCGAAGTAGACAAAAATTTAACAAGATTCTCAGTATACCTGAAACAGGAAGTGTCCAAGAAAAGAATACTCTCCAAGGAAATATGCTTTCAAGATCTTTTTTTCTTCAAGAAAACAATGACAATTATATAAGGGGAAAGAGAAACGTCTTTCAGGAAATGAAAGGAACTTTTTAATTATGCAAAAGCATCTCTTAATTCAAATCATGTTGATCTGCGTCGCGGTCAATATTTAAATTGTTTCATTTGTCAGAATTTAATCTTTGAGGAAGATTGATATTTTTTGTACAAATTTAATTTAGTTTATTTGGGGAGTTTAAAAAATTTTTTTTAATTGCAAAATTTTATTTATATTTTTCTGAAGGTCAATTTTTTCAGGTCACTCTTGAATGATTTGATGAATTGTTAATTTGTAAATTGACAAGATTTCGGAGTTAAGAATTTTTGTTTTATAATTTATAAAATTCACTATAAATTGTTTTTTTTATAAAAATTTATAATTTTATCTTTTGTCAGAAGCAGCCATAAATTTTTGTCAATTTTTATAGAAATGCATAGATTCTTTGGCAAAATTTTCTACAAATGAACATACATTTTTTTCTTAATATTTTTAACAAATTTGTTCAATTTTCCAGAAGTGTAACTTTTAACAAATTTTTTAAATTTTCTAAAAATGTAATTTTTTAAAAAATTTGTTCAAATTTTCTAAAAATGTATATACTTTTTTTTGATAATTTTTTAGAAATATTTTGACAAAAATTTTCTACAAAGATTTTAAGTAAAAAATTTTAATTCTCAAACTTACACACTTCTGTCAAATTTTCTATAAAACATATACACATTTTTCAAATTTTCCTGAAACCTCATTAAAGTTCCCCTAATTAAAAAAAAAGTCTTTAAAAAGTATTCCAGTATTTTCTTTCGGTTTTTTTCACCTGCGCAACTAATTTAACTACCTGCATTTTTCGTGTTTGCCAATTTTTCAGCAAAAAGGAATAAAACTTGATTTCTATCAAGGATAGATATGTGAATAGTAAAAAAGAAAATCTGTCGAGTACTTACAGATAACGGTGAGATGAGCATTGGCTCGAATCGGTTTAATCCGTACATATGGACCAACTTGGCACTGATATTCTCCATCGTCGGTCAAAGAAGCGTCTGTGATCCTCAGGTTATAAATACCGGCGTTCTGGTCTCCGATTAATCGTAGCCGAGGATGTCCAACAATTTCTCCGTCTGAAATTATACGAAAATAAATATTACACATATTACATTTCATGTAAGTCTTAAATTTCCTTAGTTTTTCATATTAAATATTTTCAATTTTAATCTCTACATTTCTGAATTTCCTTGTTTTTACATATTGAATGCTTTCAATATAAAAAATTTTTACGTTTAATTTCAATTTTGACGAATGTGGTTTTTTGGCAATATATTGAGAGCTTGTCTAGTAAGAGCAGTCAATAGCTTTCTGATGTCATTTTTCTTGTATACAGGGAGTAATATGACTACATAGGGTTGATTCCCACATTCTCAAGTCCCAAATGTGGTTTATCGGCAATATATTGAGAGTTTATCTAGTAAGAGCAGTTAATAGCTTTCTGATGTCAGTTTTCTATATAGAGAATAATATAACTATATAGGGTTGATTCCCACACTCTCAAGTCCCAAATGTGGTTTATCGGCAATATATTGAGAGTTTGTCTAATTGTAAGAACAGTCAATAGCTTTCTGATGTCATTTTTCCATACAAGGAGTAATATGACTATATAGGATTGATTCCCACATTCTCAAGTCCCAAATGTGGTTTATCGGTAATATATTGAGAGTTTGTCTAATTATAAGAGCAGTTAATAGCTTTCTGATGTCATTTTTATATAATGAATAATATAACTATATAGGGTTAATTCCCACATTCTCAAGTCCCTAAATTCCTAAATTTTGCAATCCATAAATTTCCAAATTTGTAGGTTCATTAAATCCATAAATTTCCAAATCACCAAATTTAGAATCCTTAAGTCTCCAAATGTCTATATACTCAAACTCCAGAATTCCCATATCTTCAAATCTCCATATTTTCTAAATTTGAAATGTTTTCAAATCTCCAAATCTTCAAATCCCTAAATCTCTAAATCCCCATATTCCCAAATCTCCATATTCCTAAATCCCCATATCCCCAAATCCTTAAATCTCCAAATTCCTATGTCCTTAAACTCCAGAATCCCCATATTCCTAAATCCCCAAATCTCGAAACCCCAAAGTCGTCAAATCTCCAAATTCCTAAATTCCCAAATCTCTAAATTCTCAAATCCTTAAATTCCCAAATCACTAAATTCCCAAATCCCTAAATTCCCAAATCTCTAAATTCCCAATTCCCAAATTCCCAAATTCCCAAATTTCCAAATCCCTAAATTCCCAAATCCCCAAATTCCCAAATTCCCAAATTCCCAAATCCCCAAATCCCCAAAATCCTAAATCCCTAAATCCCTAAGTCCCTAAATTCCCAAATTCCAAAATTCTCAAATCTCAAATCTTACAAATTGTTATACTATAAATCATAAAATAAAACTTGCATTATTTACTATGCATCACCAAAACAAGTTACAACACATTTCACATCACTTTTAATCCGAGTAGCATCAAGAGAAACTTCAACAACATACATTTTCTCAAACAAGAAGAGCATTAAAAGGTAGACTAAAATGTTGTGAATCAAGATTGACTGACATGTAAGTGGTCTTGAAGGCAAAAGAGAAGAGATGTATGTAGAAGTCAGCAAGTGAAAAATGTCCGTCGACTGTCAGACATATTTCGCACACTAACTTGACATCGGCAGTATTTTGTACATTAAATATTTGAAAGCTTTCTTCAAATGAAGCTGAACATTTTTTTATGTACCTTTGATTATATTTTCGGATGATCAATTTGAAATTTTCAGATTTAAATTTACATATCTTCAAATTTGTAATTTCTCAATGTTTTAATGTTATAGATTTTCAAATTTTTATTTATGCAAATTTTCAAGTTTAAAAATCTCTAAATTAACTAATTTTTTCATATTTAAATTTCTATACTTTCAAATTTGCAAGGTTATATTTTATAATATTTAAAATGTTTAAACATTACCACAATTTTATTAACTTAAAAATGGTGAGATTTAATATTTTCATTTTTTAATAAAAAAAAAAATTGTAAAAGGAATGAAAAAATAAATAAAGAAATTGTTAAATAAATAAGTTTAACAAAAATTAAAAATATACTAAATAAATAATATCTATTAGAAAAATTAAAATTCTTCTTCACAAACTTAATTTTATACACCTGTTATATTAACATATTTTCATTTCATATTAACATTTCAAGAATATTATTATTGCCACCATTTTTTAATTTAATCTCAAATAAACATCTCAATTTACATGTCACTTCAATTTCATTAATTTCTTTCTTTTATTTTACTTGTTTCGACGCGTTTTGACCGAACAATTCAAACTGCGATTCAAATTTGGCGCGCTTTCATGGCGTACGCGCCTCATAACCTATCTGACGAATTACGCGAAACTAAACGCACTACTGTTCATTTTATTATCAAATATCGTGTTTCCCGACAATTATAAATAATCTTTACGACAATCAACGAACCAAATGACCATTTAACCAAAAAATATACGGTATTTCACCGCGTCCCCGATAAAACTAGAAAAAACACACAACTTCGGTTAGCCGTTGAATGTAGGTCGTGAAGAGTGTTGAAAAACGAGTCTAATGAAGGTTTCGATAGTCAAGGGTCTAATTATTCTTCTTTTGTGTCTCCTGAGCCACCGAATGTGAATCAAGTTACTGAAAGCAGTGACACTGACGAGGGTGTAGCTTTTGTGGGTCGCGCGAGACACTTTTGTTGAAAAATGACGCGGCCGTCACACGGTACAGTCCTCTAAATGAGATTAAATCATCCCCCGGCAAAAATATCGTACGGGATATTAAGATCGTTCTACTCCATTTACGTCACAGCCACTAATGGCCCTCGTTTTAATGAGACCAAGATGAAGTCACTAAACGAACTTCTAAAGATTCCGTTAACGCAAAGGACGGGAGTTTCTACTGCATCTACGTTCACAGTCTCGACTTAGCGTCCGAGGAGAGCAAGAAACTTGATAATTGCTTGAAATCGATACGAACGTTAATTGGTAGGTGCTATTGCGAGAACTCGATGTGACGAAGTTCGTGGAATTGCTCTGTTCGAGTGATACGATGAAATAATCGAAGCGTTCGGATATTCGTTGTTAGTCGTTGGAATTGATTCAATTGATAGACAGACAGAAATGATGTTTCAAACAATATAAATTTGTTATGTGAGTTTGAAGATTTTTGTGATTTGTGATTTTTTAAACTTCTAAATTTTTATGTTTGTAAAATTTTTTATTTATGGGTTTTTAGATTTCCTGGTTTCCTAATTTCCTGGGGTTCTAATTTTCCAATTTCCCAATTACTCAATTTCCTAATTCTTTAATTTCCCAGTTCCCTAAATTCCCAACTCGTTAATTTCCCAGCTCTCTAGTTTCCCAAATCCCTAATTTCCCAATTACCTAATTTCCCAACTCTCTAATTTCACATCTCCCTAATTTCCCAAATTTCCAATGTCCCAACTCTCTAATTTCCCAGCCCTCTAAATTTCCCAGCGTCCTAATTTCCCAACTCTTTAATTTCCCAACTTTCTAATTTCCCAACATTCTAATTTCCCAACTCTCTAATTTCACATCACCCTAATTTCCCAAATTTCCATTGTCCCAACTCTCTAATTTCCCAACCCTCTAAATTTCCCAACTTCCTAATTTCCCAACTCTTTAATTTCCCAACTTTCTAATTTCCCAACATTCTAATTTCCCAGCTCTATAATTTCCCAATTCCCTAATTTCACACCTTCCTAATTTCTCAATTACCTAATTTCCCAACTTCCTAATTTCCCAACTTCCTAATTTCCCATCTCCCTAATTTCCCAACTTCTCAATTTCCCAACTCTCTAACTTCCCAACTCGCTAATTTTCAACTCTCTAATTTTCCAACTTTCTAATTTCCCAGCTCTCTAATTTCCCAACCTCTTAATTTCTCAGCTCCCTAATTTCCCATTTTTCCGAATTTCATAAATCCAAAAATTGTCATTCTTATAAATCACTAAAATTCTCCCAGCTTTCCATGTTTCCAAATTCTCAAATTACTTAGAATTTTGAAACCACCAAATTCTTATTCCTCATTCCAATTTCTCATTTTACAATTCAATAATTTCAAAATTAAATAAAAGTACGTCAAAAATTAAAATACTATTCCAAAAGACTAAATTCGATATCTCATTTCGTTATTATAACTTTTCAATTAATTTATAAAGTTGAATGAATACTTAAATACTCACTTGGTTGAATGACATAGGCGAAGCCATCTTTGACCCACTGCACGATACCCACTCTGTTTTCAACTTCGCAAGGTATTGTCACCTCGTTGCCTTCGAGAACAGAGCTGTTTGTCGGTCGCACTCGAAAATATTGTCCTCTTTCCCCTGCAACACAAATTTTTAACAAATTATTATAATTTTTGTTATCTGCAAATAAATATTTGTAACAAATATTGCCACAAGTTAGTTAATAATGCACAGTAATAATGTAAAGTTTGTTTATAAGAGTTGGCGCTTTTCAAGATTCAAATTTTGGCGCGCTGCAGCCAACATGGCCGCGCGTCATGTGACCTCGAACACAGTACCCATCTCTCCTTTTGCTTTACACCTATAAAAGAACTCTTTCCGGTTCAAAATTAAACAAAAAAATTACTGAAATCCATCCTAGGAGCTTACATAGAACAATTCTCATCTCGTTTTTTAATTCTACAAGATGCAAGGGGATAAAATTCATTTTGAAGAGTCGCCTCCCTTCAAGATTCAAACTTTGGCGCGCTACAGCCAACATGGCCGCGCGTCACGCGACTCAAAACGCAATCCCCGCCTCTCCTTTTACTTTGTACCTTTAAAAACTCTTCTCCGTTAAAAAGAAACGCAAAAAATGACTAAAACCCTTCGTAAAGTACCCCAGATAACAGTTACAACCTCGTTTTCCCAACCCACAGCCAGCATCATGTCCAAAAGCCTTACCGATCGAATGACAACGGCCGGACGAAAGACAGGAGCCCGATCGGCATAATCTGCTTGTCGTTTGTGGATGGAATCGATGCTCGGTTGACTTTCCTCGTCTGTGTACGAGAACCTACACGACCCACGGCCCTGTGTACTTGCGGCCAGGGTTACACGTTTGCCTTTGTACATCGTTTGCGTTCGTGGTCACCTGCTGCTCGAATTTGCGCAATCCAGCCTAAATAGACCGGTCCTCATGAAATATACAGCCAGTGCTGGCTGTTACGTTGCGAACAACTAGGCTCCCTTGTACACGATCCCTTTAAACGGATCAACTTAACGCGACCGTGAACGCAAAGCAACGTTGTTACAAAGAATCCCGCCGATTGTTTGATGTACACGTGTTCACGATCGATGCGTTTGATTTACGAGGTACCTTGTTGCGGATTTGGTTTTAAGGTGTATTGCAGGTACGGGTCTTTTTTTAGGGGTTGGAAGTTATTTTTTAAGATAGAAGTAGTAGAGATAGAGGTTTGAGTGGAGAAAGGTGGAAAATGAGGCTTGGGTGCTGGGTTTTGAGGGAATCTCACTGTAAGTGAGCGCGTCTGAACTTACGGCGCTCAGTTACGAAAGGTTTCTAGTATTACTTCACTTTTCTGTGGGATAAGGAAGTTTTTTTCTTTTAATTAAATTTGATAGGTTGTAAGAGTAAGGGTGCTCAAGTATAAATATGACACATATGGCTGCATATAAACAAATGTAATACAAATTTTTAAATTTGTGAATTTGAATGTTTGAGAATCTGAAGTTTAGAAGTATCTATTTAAGTCAGAAGTAATGAAAATAGATATGGGAGTACAGAAAGGTAGTATGATGCTTAGGTGGTGCGTTCTGAACTACTCTCACCGTAACTGAGCGCGCCCGAACTTACGGCGCTCAGTTACGGAAGGTTTCTAGTATTACTTCATTTTTCTGTGGAATAAGGTGTTTTGTTTTTAATTAAATTTGATAAATTATGACAGTGAAGGTGCTCAAGTATAAAAATGATACATGTAGTTGTATATTAACACAATATACTATAAATATAGTACAAGCGAAAATGTACTACATACATTGAAACTTAAAATTACAAAATTCCAAAATATCTAAAATATTCTCCCGAATTTAAAATTTGAAATTCCTCTCAGAATAACCCCACAGAAAAACACAACAAGAATATCTGGCCAGAAGCACAAGACTTCAATTGCTTTCATTCGGCCTCATTATTCCAACCACGATAAAAAGCCCGAGATTTTTAGGCTTCTTTCAGAAGGAACGAACGCATCGGTGCATTTATTTCTTCTCGATCAGCTCGCTCATAGTTATTTCTTTTTTATGAAACTGTAAAATGTTGGCATTCTGTGTCTTCCGACGTTCGTTTCATCGATTTCCATTTCACGATATCGCAAATACCAGCTCTAACATTCTTGCCTTGCCATTTCACGAATTTCTTCCTTTCTCTCCGCTCTTCTTTTTTTTTTATTAACATTTCACCGGATTCAACGTCGCGATGTTTACCAGCGCTTTCTATGGCCTCCATTCTTTTACAAAAGTGGCAGCACTGCATCCGCCAATAATTTCCACCGGTAAAATAGAATATTCACTCGCAGTTTCTATTTTAAATCTTCCGTGAATGTTGCCGTTTACGAGCCTTATGCAATCCCATAAATTAACGACGCATGGGTTGCAGATTTTACACCGCGAATAAAGGTGCTGCGAAAATTGCAGACAATTTTACAACGAGATAGCTATCATTCATTTTGCGGAACATCGCCAGAAATTTATTAGTACTGATTTTTTGGTATGGTTTATGTACTATGGTTTGTGGTTTTTTGGAGTGATTTTTGAATGGTACTGTTGGGAATATTAATATTCTGGAGGGTTGGAAACTTTTCCAAATCTTAAAGTTCTTGAATATTCACAATTTTACAAGATTTAAAAATTTGATGAAAATTTCAAAATTTAGAAGATTACAATTTAAGGAATTTGTGAAATTTGAGAAATTTAAGAAATCTGAAAAATTTTACTAATTTCACTAATTTGACTAATTTGACTAATCTTGCTAATTTTGCTAATTTTACTAATTTTACAAATTTTACAAATTTTACAAATTTTGCTAATTTTGTTAATTTTGCTAATTTTACAAATTTTACTAATTTTACTAATTTTACTAATTTTACTAATTTTACTAATTTTACTAATTTTATTAATTTCATTATTTTTACTAATTTTACTAATTTTAGAAGTTTTAGAAATTTTAGAAATTTAAAAATTTTTAGAAATTTTAGAAATTTTAGAAATTTTAGAAATTTTGCAAATTTTAGAAATTTTAGAAATTTTAGAAATTTTGCAAATTTTGCAAATTTTAGAAATTTTAGAAATTTTTCAGTTTGCAAATTTTACAAATTTTACAAATTTTACAAATTTTACAAATTTTACAAATTTTACAAATTCTACAAAATTCTACAAAAATTTCAAATTTCCCAGATTTCAAAACCTAAATAACTCATTAAAAAATTTCTAAATATCGGAATTCTCAAAATTTCCTTATCCCCAAATTACAAAATCCCCCAAAAATTCCTAAAAATGAACTGGTATCGTCCTTTCCTCAGTTGCCATATTATCCTTAGGGAAACCAGATTTACTTTTCACTGTACGGGTATTAAACAAACTCCCAGCAGAAATTTGCCAGAGAGAGTTTCGTTAAACTTCGAAGAGAAAATTCCTTCAGATAATTCTTTAAAGTGTTGGCAACTTCAGGATGGAACGAGTTCGTTTCTTTTCCGTTTCAACTTGAATTTTTAATGATTTGGACAGTTTTAAGCACTCTTGATCCGGGGAAACTGAATGTACGGTTTTTTCTTCCTTTCTTAGTCACTGCTCGAATAAACTATCTTCTGGTTTGTTAATGATTCTTTTAGTATGTTTATTTAGGGGATTTCGAGACTCGAATTTGGGCATTTGGCTGATTTGTAGAAGTTAGGAGATTTGTGAAATTAGTGAAATTTGTGAAATTTCTGAAACTTGTAAAATTTGTAAAATTTGTAGAATTTGTAGAATTTGTGAAATTTGTGAAATTTCCGAATTTTCGAAAATTTTGAAATTTGACGTTTTGGGGATTTGTAAATTTGAGATCTCGTAAACTTGTAAATTTAAAAATTTACAAAATCGGTAAATTAGTAAGTTTGAAACTTCAAAAACTTCTAAATTTAAGAAATCAATAAATCAACTATCCTAATTACGAACATTTAACATTAAATAAACCTAAAACCAAAACTGATCCAACACTCACAAACGTCAGTACTCTTATCAAAATAATGAAACATTGTACACAAGTACAACTAAACTCGACAGAACATGCACGATATCGAACCACCTGGCAATTTTTACTCGCATGTTGCAAACAAAAAAAAAGAACCGAGGTGAAAAAAAATATGAAAAATGGTAACAGCCTCGAGGTAACGCGTCCATCGTTGAAAAATTCCGACGGAAAGTTCATTCAAACACGATATCGCCAGTGTTTCTGAAAAAGTGTTCGGTAACGTTCGGTAAATCGTCTCATTTTTCATGTGCAGCTTCAACCGTGCGATTTGCATACCGAGCGTAGGTAAATGCGCGCTTTATGTCGCTGTTTGTCGGCCTTTTTTGCCGTTAAGCGAACCCCGAAACGAGCGCCGATACAATAACCGATTGTTCCGTTCCTTTCTGCCCTGAAATTCGACGATATCGAGCTGAATTTTGCGTTCGTTTCTTGTTTCATCTCCGGACACCGAGTTCCTTGAATTCCAGCGATTTCACGTTCGATCGCCGAGTTCCGTGAAATCGCACGGTGAACTGTGTTGAATAACGTCGGACATGTTTCCTCGTGTTTAGATTTTTTGCTGTTGTTTGCTTTTAATGGTGAGAGGAGGTATTTTTATGTTTTGTATAATTTGGGGGTTTGTGAGAGAATGTTGGGGTTTTTGGTATTTGGAGATACTTGCTTGTAACGGAATTTGGAAACATAACTGTAACAACAGTTGTGTAGTCACCAATGTACATTTTCAGAATTTTTCACGTTACCATGATACTGTACATAACATTAACACATGTTAATATCTTATATTTCTTCTGCTTTGGTTACAGTGGCATGCTCTGTATTGATCATATGCCTTATATCTTCATTTTCCCAAATATCTGTAATTCTTTTCAACTTCGATAATGTGAAGAATTGTAAACTAGTCTTTGAGTAGGCAGACATTTTCTATGGCGTTCAAATTTCACCTCTAGCGCCATCGATACTCCTAACGTAAACGCTTGCACCCTTAATCGCTCATCACCCATGCAATTTATTATCACGGTAACAAATCGCTATGTATATGTTATCAACGTATTTAGTAATAATTTGGACATAAGACAATTTTCCGTACGTGACATAATTATAGTCATACAAGTGAAATTTTCGTACGTGGTAATTCGATGGCCAGGGACTGTACAATAGTCATACCCGTCATCCACATCATCACAGCAGTCACATTTCCAGCTTCCCTATATCAATAGTCTTAAGGCTGTTATAGTCAAGCTATCATAGCCATCATCATCATCATAATTGTCACAGCCATTATCAGGATCATAACTGTTAGTATCCACGTTTTTAGTTTACTTACATCAATAGTCTTAAGGCTGCTATAGCCATCAATGTTATAGCCATAAAAGTGAAATTTTACGTGGTCCTAATTCGATGGCCAGATTGTATATGAAGTGCGTCACATACCTACATACCTGACGAATGGTATGATTGTGATTGGTATCCTTGCACTATGATTTGTCAGGTGCCTAAATAATCACTATAATATTAAAACAACGAAAGTTGAAATGTTATGTCAATTTGGTATTATGCGTTGACCATGTAAGTTGCACTTGAATTTCAAGCTAAAGCGTATTAAAAATTCGATTAAAATTGACGCATCACGAATGCGTCAGGAACGCGTCATGCATAGTTACAGCTGAGGTACGAGTCTGATAGCGTCAAGAGTGCGTCAGAGGTGCGTCACAAGTTCGTCTTGAGTACGTCATGCGTGCTTCACGAGTGCGTCAGGGATGCGTCATGGGTGCGTTATGGGTTCATCACGAGTGCGTCGTAAATACGTGATGGGTGCGTCGTCAATGCGTCGTGAATGCGTCATGGGTGCGTCACGGATGCGTCGTAAATGCGTCATCGGTGCGTCAAGAATGGGTCAAGAGTGCGTCACGGATGCGTCGTAAATACGTCATGTGTGCGTCGAGAATGCGTCGCGAGTGCGTCACGGATGCGTCGTAAATGCGTCATGGGTGCGTCAAGAATGCGTCAATAGTGCGTCACGAATGCGTCTCGAATGTGTGAAGAGTGCGTCACGAGTGCGTTAAAAGTGCGTCATGAACGCGTCAAGAGTGCGTCACGAATGCCTTAAGAGTGCGACACGAATATGTCAAGAGTGTGTCACGAATGTGTTAAGAGTGCGTCTCAAATTCGTCATGAGTGCGTCAGGAGTGCGTTAAGATTACGTCATGAATGCATCAAGAGTGCGTCACGAATACATCATGATTGTGTCACAAGTGCGTCACAAATGCGTTAAGATTGCATAAAGAGTGCGCCAGGAGTGCGTCAAGAATGCGTCACGAATGCGTTAAAAGTTTGTCACACGTGTGTCACGAATGCGTCAATAATGTGTCAGGAGTGCGTCAGAAGTGCGTCACGAATACGTCTGGAGTGCGTCAAGAATGCGTCACGAATGCGTTAAAAGTGTGTCACAAGTGTGTCACGAATGCGTCAAGAGTGTGAAGAGTGCGTCAGAAGTGCGTCAAGAATACGTCAGGAATGCGTCAAGAGTGCGTTAGGAGTGCGTCACGAATGCGTCAAAAGTATTTAGTAATTATTTTGACCTAAGACAATTTTGACAACAAATGATATAATTATAGTCGTAAACCTGTATTCTCGTACGTGGACCTAAGATGGCCGGGACTGTCACAAAATGGCGGCCTATGGCATGCAGCCAAACGAACAAATTCTATTACGTTCATAAGTTTTTTAACTGGGAAACATTTCAATGTTTGAACTCACACATTGAAATTTAAAGTTTTAAAAGTAGAAATTGCAATTTAGATTTTTAAATGTGCGAATTAAGATTTAGATTTTTAAATTTAGAGAAAAGGAACTTCGAAATTACCGTGTTTCAACGTTGATCTTAGCTACTTGTTTAATTTTGAACGCCGTCATTAGGCTTGCTAGTTTTCCTCTTGTTCGCAAGAACTGCTCCTACATTGTTAATGCAAAATTTGCATACAGATGAAGGACAAACGCACCAGCGTTCTATGTAAAGGGGACAGAAAAGAAGCATTCTAACATCTTTTATTATTTTATATTTCTTTTTGCAGGAAAAAGATGAGACCTTCGAGGTAAAAGGAAAGTAAAGGCAGAGAACTCTTTCCTGATAATACTAAATTTTTTTGACTTATTTTTTTTCATGAATGAATGGCAATTTTTTGTTTAGTGATTAGGTACTTTATCGGAATATTATAATA